ACAACTTATTTTGTATCCATATTTCAGAGATCTACCATAAATGTATCCCTCTCTTTGAAGCCATCTTGAAGCCCTATTCCCTGCTCTACTGCTACTATCATTACAGCTGTTACTAATACCATATCTTCTCCTACTCAGCCTATTATGAAAGTCAATATTTTCTCATGTTGACGTAAGCTCTCTTCTCTCGGGGTCGAAGCCGGAGTGAAACCATCTCTTTCCCCACAGCAGCAGAAGCAACAGTAGCAGCAGCAACAGCAGTAGCAGCAGCAGAAAGAGCAGTAGTGACAGTGACAGCGAGAGCAGCTTTAACAGGGGCCGATCTGAATGGATGCATGCCTGACACCGGGCACATTTAGCTGGTGTTACCCCGGGGCGTTCAGGGACCACCGGTGACCACATCATGTCCATTCTCTCGCACACACTTCATGTTGTTTTTTTGTCCCGCTCATGTTGAGGTCAGCGAACATGGCGCAGTGGCAGTGCTGTCAGCCGGCCTGTCCTTCAGCCATTTCCGACAAAGCATTATGGGTTTTTTTCTTTCAACAGAGCAGCAGGAATGCCACTAAACCAAGGCATTGTGGCATTGGGTGGAATTTTAAGGCGTCGCAATTTGGTGGGATATTGTTTCGTGCACCAGTTCTGTGGCGATGTGAGCTGAAATCCTGCTGCTAGCTCAGTTTGAATTGGAAAATGTTGAATCTTTAGTCCTGTTGAATTTGATTGCACGTAGCCAAATTTAATTCCACCATTGTGTCCTTTAACCTTTTTAATGGTTCCATGTTTACAGCATATATTCTTATTTCTTTCAAATCTGTACAAAGGCTTCACCTAATATCAAAACAATTGACAGATGCAATGGAATTATGCTAAAAACAATGGATATATTTGATTAAATCTCACATTTTCAGGAACTTTTACAAATTTTAGCTGAAGCTTCTTTTCAGGGACTCCTCAGAGTTCCTGAAAAGAAGCCAGTCCCTGTGCTCCTCAGAGTCCCAGCAGGAGGCCAGTCCCTGTGCTTCTCAGAGTCCCTGAAAAGAGGCCAGTCCTTGTGCTTCTCAGAGTCCCAGAAAAAAGGCCAGTCCCTGTGCTCCTCAAAGTCCCAGAAAAAAGGCCAGTCCCTGTGCTCCTCAGAGTCCCTGAAAAGAGGCCAGTCCCTGTGCTCCTCAGATGTACAGTACTTTGGAGCGAGGCCATGGAGAGACACAACCTGGGCTGCTTTTAAGTCTATTCTCTGAGCCACAAGAAGCCAGTGCAGAGACCTGAGAACTGGACTAATGTGGTCGTACGTCCTGGTTCCAGTCCGTGCTCAAGCTGCATGCGAGTCCTGCGTAATGCGTAATATTTGTTATTTAAACCAAACAGAAAAAACATTGTGTGACCGTGTTGCATGCGTTTCCCCAGTGAAAGATCGTCCGCACAGGGCCTTAAATCAGATGCTGTGGAAGTTATACTGCTTCTCCTACTCGCATCGTTCATGTTGTAAACGCATTGAATATTCATATAGCCAAGGGGGATCTCCATACATTACAGGTCATTTATACTGCCACATTCAACCTACTTATTGCATGTTTGGGGGACATTATGCATTCATAGTTTATAGCATCATTCTCTGGGTTTTATAAATGTTTAATGCCCTCACATCTTATTATCCACAATGTCATTTTTCATTGGCTTTTCAAACAACCACTACTTGCAACCCGGTGGAGGCACATTCCGAGAGTTCAGGCTCCGAGATTAGAAGGCTCGTTTTAGCATTATATTCAGAGAGGTGTTTCGGTAAAGCTTGCCTCATCAAAAACGCCATCTTGCTTATTCTCGTCTTTGCATACTTTTTCACTTGAATATATTTTAGCCTCTGTCACATATTTAGGGCAGTAACTTCAGACAGAAAAGTGGCAAAGCACAATTAGAATTTGCTTAAGTTCTTGCTAACGCAGGACAGGGAACCGTACCAGAACGAAGCCAAGTCAAAACTAGGGCTATAGTCAAAATACTCATAAACAATATATTGGGATGGACTTCTTTGCAAACTGTGAATCATGATTGAGGTTTTAAAATCTCAAATAATTATATACTGTTGCTGTATGTTGCATTAAATCATAAATGTTGGGCTACGATGGTGATTTATTCATAGGACAATTGCATTCACTCATTAAATATCGACCCATGTATAGGGAGGATCTTGGCAATAACCAATCTTTACATAAATTCTCTCATAAGTTTCCTATACAGTGGTCTCTCGTTTATAGCATGGATTACGTTCAAAAACTACACAATCTATAAATGGCACACAAAAAGTCTACTAAACTGCGATAGGAGAATTGTGGTATAGGACCAGATGGACCAGTGTTTATACAGAAGTTGCCATCTTTAACGCTTGCATCCATCCATCCATCCATGTTCTACCCCTTAACCCATTTGGGTGGAGGGGGTGGCAATCAGTGATGCCACCCAAGTCACTTAGCACCAACCCCTCACTGATCCTCTGCAGGTGGTGAGTCCACAGGAGAGTGAGAGCATAGCCTTGATCTTTCAGCAGGAGCTTCAGGCAAAGTGGGGTTAAGTGTCTTGCCCTGGACACAACAACAGCAGACATCAGTGGGAGTCAGTGGAGAAGGTCTCGTGGTGGGCTCGAACCAACGACCTTCAGGCTCTAAGGCCAATGCTCTACCAACTGAGCCACTGTCGCCCAACGCTTGCATATATACTTGGCCTAAGCCGAACTGGACTTCTTTGTAACGCAACAAATAATTAGTGAGAAAGTAGCAGACTTAACCAGGTTTACACATGTTGTCCCAGAACCCTGTAGACGTACCCGCACCACACTTTGAAAACCTTTGTATTATTTAAGCCTGTGATATTACATCCCATCGTCTCTAAAGTACAGTTAAAGTTAGCTTTAAGGACACCGCCAGGACCCAGGGCTGAATTGGAAACAATAAAAGTCATTACATCATGATCCTGCCGTTAAAATGATAGATCCTCACTTTGTCCTTAGTCTTTTGTTCCTGAATATGGCCCTTGTGTAAATCTTAATTACTTGTAAAATTAAACATTTATTAGGGTCGAGCAATGTAGTTATGAGATGAAATTGCTGTCTTGCCCAAAGGCTCTTGACCGACACGAATCATGGCGACCTCTACAGCGGAGATGGACTGTAACCGGGTATAAAGTTTGGTTTTAGGAGTTGGAAGAGGATCCAGAGAATAGTGGTGACAGCGCCAATTAAAAGTTGCGGGTACACTGCAAAAAGTGATGGAAAATAAGTCAAACATTTCTCATAATTGGCTAAATGTAACTTAATTTGAGCACATTCTGACAGCCCTAATCCGCAATTTGCCAATAGACTAAATGACTTTGTCCCATTGGAGCAAACTCACAGTAATCATGAAAGTTGTTCAGTTTGGGCTTGAGCTTTTAACACAAGTCCCTATTGGGGGAAGATCTTTGAATGGTTTTATACTGATCTTGTCTTAAAAAAAAGAGAATCTATAGTCTACCTTTAAAGTGAAAGAAAATAATTCAGCGTCGTTGCTTTCCAAAATGACTGAGACTCGACTATAAAAAAATCACTGGTTTGTTTGTTATGTCTTCTACAACTGTATACTTAGTACTTAGGGTTAGCATGGATCAATCCAGGGCAAATAAGGCACTTTAGAAACTGTTCTTGTAGAGGGACAGATAGAGTGTGTTTTGTGTATGTGTGTGTGTGTGAGCCCCAAACATTTTAGGTTGAACCGTTATTGATATAATGATAGAGTTATAATTGTACCAAACAGATAAGTTTTAGGCTTTTAAATGCTTTCTTCCCACAAACAGTGCACTCTCTTACAGAATGTCTTCCAGAAACCTATGCTTACCATGCTAATCTATAGCATTCCCATCTCCTTCATTCAACTCCATTTGCTCTTCGGACTCATCGCGAGGCAGTCAAACTAACACAATTTGGAGGATTTAAAGCCGATCCCATTGTCTCCCGGTCGTTCCAATGGCACTGACCCCAACTGTGACCCTCAGAACGGGACACCCCCATCTCACCCACGGCCCCTCGGACCGTCCCGGGACTTGAACTTGGGACTTGACACAGCAGGCCGGCCAGGCGTGGACAGATGAAAGAAGAATAGTGCACTTGCATATGAATGGGGAGAGGGGCAGCGGGTGATTGCAGGGCGGAAGGTAAAGGTCACACACCCCCCTAGCAACGGACCAGTGCGGGTCAGTTTTCAAACGTTAATTTAGGTTATGTTGTGGTTGCTTGTATATTCACTGCTTTTGCGAGCTATAGACGCACAATACAAGGCGATAATCTGATGAAATTCACAGAAATATAACAGTTGCTTATGACGCATCCTGTTCAAAGGAGGACTTAGAACTATTCAAAGCCAAAGCAAAAATATGTGATACAAAGTAAATGAAGATTCTGAAGTAGGTTTGTTTTAGGGTCATCAAAAGTATTGGAAATCAGACTTATCATAATGGGTATTTCTAGACTCCACCTATTTATACTTTGACATTTTAAGGTATACTTCTGCTGCCACTATGTTAAGGACATTTATACTAAACCTACTACTAGACTCACAATTATTACTATGGCTGCATTTGCTGCTGCTACTACTACTACTACTACTACATTAAAACTACTAAAACAACTACTACTTCTGCTACACCTTATGCAAACACCAATATTTTGATTATGGTTTATTTTACTACTAAATTACTTACTGCTGATAATACTACTACTTTACTACCACTATAACTCCTTCTACTGCAACCATTGCTTATAAAACCACAGCTACTGTTATTTTTACCACTTATAAAACTACTAAACAAGTCAGCTGGTCATTTTGCCATCAAGGTCAAGTCCAGCAGGCGCCAACATGGACAGATGAAAGCAGAAGAATGGTGGGGGACCACTGCCGGGACACTTGCATTTGAATGGGACAGGCCTAACGGGTGAGGGAGGGGTGAGGAGAGGGATGGTAGGGGGTGGGCCTTCAGGGGAGAGGGTAAAGGTTAACCCCCAGCCGCGCGTTGGTCTCGCTGCCGGCCTGACGAGCAGACAAAAGGAGATGACACGGGGCACTGGACAGGCTGGCCCGCTCCAGGAGGCCTCCGCTGGGGTGGGGGTCCCAGCAGGCAGATGCACCCGGCAGCAGCAGCAGCGTCAGGACAGACAATGGCAACACGCGTCCTGCTCGAGCGGGACGGACGCCAGGCACACTTAGCATTAGCAACACCCCCGGCCTCGGAGGACCAACCCACACATGAGCAAACACATCTGCATTATTAATATTTGATCAGGCCTAATCCACAGCTTGAAGAGAGGGACAACAACATGCAAGGCCACGCTGTATGGACGGGCAATAGGCAGGTTTATGAGCACAAGGCATCTCAAAGTCCAATTCAATTTATTTTAGCATAGCCCTGAATCACAACAGTAGTTATCTCGGAGGATTTAACAGGAGGAGGACATAAGGAGCTGAGACCAATGTCCATAAATGTTGATAAAGTTAAAAATATCGTTGAATTTTGCGTGTCCTGGATCAACACTGTCCTTAGACCCTCCTGCATCAACATGGAAAAAACGTGTGCTTTCCAAAATAAGAAATAATTTTATTAAAATCATATAAAGACATTTCACTGATAAACTGTAAAAACGCAAGTATAAAAAAAGTATAAATAATATTCATAAATAGTGTATAAAAAAATATCAATCTGTAGCAGAAAACTTCATTTAGCAAGTTTTTCCTTGACAAAGAATGGGGTTCTATTCGCCCAATACCCTTTCTGTTTATAGACCAATACATTAATTGTTTGATTTTTTCTAATCTGCTGTTGGTAAATTAACAATACTTTTAGATTGCTGCTTTTGTGATTTTGGGTGCTACAAAAGTAAAATCTAAATTGTACTTGGGATGGTACCACAATGTTCCAAACTGCTTCTAACCCTCAAGAAAAGTCAGATTTTTGTATCAACACGAATTGTCTAGTTCAGTTGAGTACTATTTGACTTATAATTCATGTTAGACTCTAAAGTTGTATAGTAAACACTCACCTTTATGCATTTGAAGATATTTTGCCTGAGTGAATTATTAATACAATGGTTTATTCTTGCAATCGTGTGCCACAAAGCCCTGTGTTGGTTTATGCGAGAGTGTAAAATCTGGAGCATATAGAGTAGACCAATACATCTGGCAGATAGTTGTAATTTTAGCCATGAAAGCAAAACACCTACTGTATATTGTGTTTGTGCTTTTAAGGAAAGACATCATGTTTTTTTCCCTCATGCACTTTAGCGAAAAGAGGCCACTGCAAAACATGTGATTACTCTGCCACCTCTGGGGTTAGAGAAACTGTGGATGACTATACTTAGTTTACTAATATTACATCTTTGAGTGAACAGATGGACTTCTTTCGCTGTGATTCAAACTTTGTATTCTCCAACAGCATCATAAAACCTCTAATACAACACGGCCGATGCCTTTATTAAAAAGTCAGAAGAAAACATAAGTTTGGAGGAGTCTTCCTGGTGAGTGAGTCTTTCTCTGGTCTCTCTCTTGTGTCTCGTTCTGGTCTCTGTCTCTCTCTGACCCCTCTCTTCTCTCCCTCTGGTCTCTCTCTCTGACCTCCCTCTGGCCTCTCTCTTGTGTCTCTCTCTGACCTCCCTCTGGTCTCTCCCTGTTCTTTCTCTCGCTGACCTCCCTCTGGCCTCTCTCTTGTGTCTCCCTCTGGTCTCTCTCTAGTCTCTCTCTCTGACATCCCTCTGGTCTCTCCCTGTTCTTTCTCTCGCTGACCTCCCTCTGGTCTTTCTCTGGTCTCCCCCTCTGGTCTCCCCCTCTGGTCTCTCTCCCTCTGGCCTTTATCTTGTCTTTCCCTTGCTGACCTCCCTCTGGTCTCTCTCTGGTCTCTCTCTGACCTCCCTCTGGTCTCTCTCTGGTCTCTCTCTGGTCTCTCTCTGACCTCCCTCTGGTCTCTCTCTGGTCTCTCTCTGGTCTCTCTCTGGTCTCTCTCTGGTCTCTCTCTGACCTCCTTCTGGTCTCTCTCTGGTCTCTCTCTCGCTTCCCTCCCTCTGGTCTCTCTCTGGTCTCTCTCTAGTCTCTCTCTGGTCTCTCTCTGACCTCCCTCTGGTCTCTCTCTGGTCTCTCTCTGGTCTCTCTCTGACCTCCCTCTGGTCTCTCTCTGGTCTCTCTCTGACCTCCCTCTGGTCTCTCTCTGGTCTCTCTCTGGTCTCTCTCTGGTCTCTCTCTGTTCTCTCTCTCGCTTCCCTCCCTCTGGTCTCGCTCTAGTCTCTCTCTGGTCTCTCTCTGGTCTCTCTCTGACCTCCCTCTGGTCTCTCTCTGGACTCTCTCTGTTCTCTCTCTCGCTTCCCTCCCTCTGGTCTCGCTCTAGTCTCTCTCTGGTCTCTCTCTCTGGTCTCTCTCTGGTCTCTCTCTGACCTCCCTCTGGTCTCTCTCTGACCTCCCTCTGACCTCCCTCTGGTCTCTCTCTGGTCTCTCTCTGGTCTCTCTCTGGTCTTCCCGTCGCCTGCATTTGAAAGGAAAACTCACATAAAGTCTGGAGCAAATCAGTATTTTAGTATTTAATCCAGTCTATACTTTAAATTCCCCAGTTTGATCAATCTCTATATTATTTGTTTAATATTTCAGCACATTCGCCACTTACCCTTTTTAGGGCTACGATTTTTGTTTAGTTTAATACTTGTTGGTCTTATGGATCAATGGCTGTTATAACTGTTTGATTCCCTATTCGTTGAGTTTTTAGTTTACGACTCATGGTGTTCCCTTGAGATCCGTTCGGTCCATATATTGACCCGGCGGCGTCTGAACTTGATCTTGAGACACTGGTCAGTGACCCGAGGCGTGGGGGGGTCACTGCAGCCGCTCTGTCCATCTGCTGGATCCACATTTACATATTCATACCAGCGACATCTGCAATCAGGGCTGAACAGTTGGCCTTGTATTCACTCATAACATTGGGAAAACCGTTTTTGTAAAGAGAATGAGCTCACCCAAAATGAGAGATTTTAGATGCGATATTTTTTTGATAAACAGGGAATTTTGGATTTTTTTGTTGAGAGCAAATTACTTAACAAGATAAATCATTGCAGTAAAGTCAATGCAAGTTTATTAGTATAGCACAATGCAACCAAGTTAGCAAAGTGACTTGAATTTGCTTGTACTTCGTGGTTCTGGTCAGGACTCAAGCTGCAGCCTTTTGTCGTTTATTTATGCAGTCGTTATGAACATTGGAACTTAGGTCACATGTTTTCAAAGATTTTATATGTTTTTACAGTCAGATTTTTTGTGTGCAAAATTGTAGAATATTAGTGCTAAAAAAAATGCTAAAATGATATAAACAACAGCTAAACCGTTAATTTCCCAACAAACACAGCATTATCTTTCATAGACTTGTAAGAAAGAATTAGTCACTATTTTTTCACTATTTTAGCCTGTCTTTTTCGACTTTTTCACAGAAAGACAGAGGCCTACAAATGTGACAGAGGCTCAGACTGAGAGTGTGTGTGTGTGGTTTGTAAGTTTGGTACCCCATCTTTAATTTATGGATCATAACGCATAGTTCTTTTAAGAGCCAATTTCAGATCAAGATTAAGATTATTTTTTTCATCCCACAGTGAGGAAATTTCAGTGTTGCATCACCAGTTACAGAACAGTGGGAACGAGGAGCACACAGCACAAGATAAATGAACAATAACTCAATACTAGAATTAAATAAAATCTCTAACTTGAGCATGAAAAGCAAGTCTAAAATCTCTAACTTTAGCATAATAGAATTTATTTTGGGAGAGTGTTCAAACTTCATGAAACTTTATTGACACAATGCAGTTGGAGCTTGTGGGACTGGACAAGTGCAGGTGGTCTGTCCGGTCAGACCCCTGCTCCCCCTGCCCCCCCTTTCTGCAGTTGTGCTTTTGGGGGTTGGAGAAGGGAGGGGGATGGTTGCGGGGGTTGGGGAGTTGTGGGGTCCGGTGAAGGTCAAAGTGGGAGGGGCTATGGGTCAGTTCGCCAGACGGACGCGCAGACGGCGGACTTGACATTGAGTTTGACCAGGGGACCTTAACTGAATTTGGTCCTCCCCAAGAAAGGTTAGAGGTTAGATTGCACTTGTAAAGGACACATAATATGCAAAACAGTTGTATTTATTTTTTGAGTTTTCCACCGACAGTGTTCCTGTGAATAGCTAACACAATTTTTCCCCCTCTTTTGGATTAATCTTGATTTTTAACTAGATTAGATTTAAATGTTGTAATTCACTGCTTTCATGCACACACACACACACACACACACACACACATACAAACACAACTGTTGAATTTTTATTAAGATATATTCTGGATGTTCCTGGATCAGATTTTTCCAATAATTAAATTGAAGAACTCTTGATTTGAAAACACACTGACTGATTTTAGAGAAAAGTCACTCTTTCGATTTGTTGACACAGGCCTATTGTTTCCTATTCAAAAAGTAGTAGTAGTAAAAGATTCATTCATAAATCTGTCTCCACAGAGATTGTGGAGTTTGACTTAACTGCTCGTCCATTTGGTAAAACTACTCACTACTTCTACTACTACTACTGCTACTACAACTACTACTACTACAATCACTGCTACTACTACTGCTAATACTACTACTTCTAATCACTGCTTCTACTACTACTACAACACTACTAATACTACTTATATACTACTGCTTCTTGTCCTTCTACAACTACTGCTACTATTACTACTACTACAACAACCACTACTACAAATACTGCCACTACTACTGCTACTCTCCTCCAACTACTGCTACTACTACTACTATAACCACTACTAATACTGCTACTACTTGTACTACTACTACTGCTACTCCTCCTCCTACTACTTCTACTACTACTACTACTTACTGTATATTGCTACTACAACCACTACCCCTACTACTACTACCACTACTACCACTGCTACTACTTCCATCTCCTTGCGTACACAGACAGTGGGCCTGACATTGGGTTTTACTTGAACCCTCTCTGAGTTTTTCGGCAGCTCCTTCTCCACAACAACTGCCCAGAAAATGATGGCTTCCGAGGTCAGGGGTTAAATTACACTTTTAAAATATAAAACCTTAACATTAACGACGTTATGTGTTTTTTTAATGGCGGCCGCAGAAGGTGAACGGCCATATTGTTGCATAGTCGCCTCTCCATTGGCGCGTACTCAAGTTAATTTCCCTTTTTTAATAGAAAATCGTCTTGTCCTTCACACCACAACGAGTTTACTCACAATGCCTCCTTTGTATTTAACTAGAAAATGCCTCAATTGTAATACATTCTTGCTCAGAGGAGGCTTCTAAAAGGAAGAATTAACAAAAAACGTCAGAAAATTCACATTCTTGACGCGTTATTGTCCGCAGGCGCACAAATACGGTGGTTGTCACCGCTTTTTTTTTTCCTTTTTTCTTCTCGCCCAGTGCTGAAAAGCATCGGCGAGCGTTCCAAGACAATATGGAACGGTCCAAGGATGCGTTAAGTGGCGAGCCAATTTTTTACGGCATCTGACTTCTTAACCCTGTGTTTATGTTTGTGGCATTCTCGCGGATAATGGGCACGAGCGAGTTGTTGAAAGCAGAACTATTGAACGCTGATTGAGGCCGAGGAAAGCAGAGGACTGGATGGATACGGTCTGACCTCCGTTTTTCCCTGAAACCGCAGTTATGGTTCAGGCTACAACCAGGGAGAGTGGTCAGTCACAGGTGTTAAGTACTGAGTCTGGAATTAAGACAGTTTTAGGCCAGGCAAGTTTAATTGTATAGCACTGTTCATACCAAGGCAACTGAAAGTGTTGAACAGAATAAGACAGCATTCAAATGATAGATAATCTCAGTACGTTAAAGTAACGATAAAATCCCTTTACAGCTAAATAGAACTGTTTTTAACCTGGACTTGAACATTGTCAGAGTAGAAGCCTGTCTCACATTTTCAAGAAGACTGTTCCAGATTTTAGCTGCATGAATCTGAAAGGCTGCGTCCACATATTTAGTTCTGACTCTGGGCACCAGAAGGATGCCGGTCCCTGTGTTCCTCAGAGTCCCAGCAGGAGGCCAGTCCCTGTGCTTCTCAAATAGTGACTCACAAGGATCTTTCTTATAGGTTTGTAAAATATAACATGTTTTCTATTGAGATGAATTTGTTTGCAAAAGGGACCATTTTTAGCACAAATCAGACCACAGCAGATCACCTTCATCTTTTGTATACTTGAAAGAAAGAGCCCTGTGAGTCACTATTTGACACTTTTGGCTGAGAGCTGATTGGCCGAGTGACGGTGGGCCTCTCTTTTACACTTCTCTGTCTGAAAAAGGCTGTGACAGAGGCCATGTAATACATAAATGTGCAAACTAGGGATAGAACTAACCTGTTTTAGAGCCAGGAACTACAGCTACATCGATGACATTACACAGATACATTTGCGTGTGATCTGAAAGTTAGGTACCCCAGCTTTAAATTTTCCTGTTTTTCCCTACCCCTCTATAACTTTGCTGGACGACGTCACAGACAGAGATTGACACTGAGTGCATTCCGCGGCCCGTATAATCCCACATGTTCTACTTGACTCATTCATTATTGCTTGTGGCTTAAACACTGTTATTTAAAGCCAGTACTTGTACATTTTTCCGCCGTGAAAGTTCAGACCCGGGCATTATTATTACATCTCCAAACTGAGCGCAAATGGCCCGGCGCTCTCTCCACCTGTCGGGGTTGATGCGTGCTGATCGCTGACAGATCTGGAGTCTGTCATCGACGCCAATTGCCGTTTTTCTTTTGACGGTTCTCTGAGTGCTCAAATCACTATGTTCCAACTTGTTATAAAGTGCTCCGGCTTCTCCTGCACTTTGCTTTCAGCGGCACTTTACCAAAAACGACACAAAACTGTTCGAAATCACTGTGTTGAATATGCGTAAAATGGAAAAAATGCCTCTCTGGGGAATCGGCGGTGGTAAAAAAAATTTTGTTTTTTTTTATTGAGTCCACGTTGTTTGGCAGGAAGCGTTCTCTCGAATCAAAGGTGTGACAGCTCCAGGCGCTACGGGAGAGACCGGTGGGTTTATTTAAAAGTGGGATTGCTAACATTTCAGGTTGCATACAGGGAAACTCACACCTGTACTTGGAGGTTTTTGTGCCACGGTGGAAGAGCCACGGGAGCTCGGAAGGAACATGCTGCCTCTGGTTTCAAGATACAGATGACAGACTCAGGAAGGAAAAAAAAGTTGTGTGAAGCAATAGGAGATGCTCGAACATGCATGAAACACTTTTAAAACAGCTTTGAGTGTGTGCGTATGACAAAGGAAACAACTGTAACAAGGTCCAAAGCTGCGAAAAGCACATTTTTAGGAATCAGAAGGCTTTTTTGTCTTCTTAGGGATTTGTTTCTTCTACACCAGATCGTAGTAAGTTAGCAATGTGTTTTATCTTGGCATCTTCTGTGGCCTTGTATTTTAGAACCAAATATCTTTTAATCAGAAGGCTTCAATTTTGTTCTACCTTTATTACAGAATCAGACTCAGAATTCTTATATTGCCATTGCGAGAAAACGGGAAGTCACAAGCTACGAATCTGCCTTGGCTTATGGTGCAAACCGTTAAAAAAAAACAAGTTAAAATAGTCATGCGTAAAATAAAATTTGAAAAAAATGAAATAAAAAATGTATATTACCCTATATAATGTTTAGAAATTGTTGTATATCTTTTTTATTTTTTATTTTTTTTTTATTTTAGTTTATTCGGTCAGGCATCGGAAACAAAGTTGTACGAGGATAGTTTCCACAGGAACACAAAATATTCCAAAAAAAAAAGAATGTACCGTACAAACTGATACTTTACTTTACTTTACACTGACCGAAAAGGCGTCGGCTGAAGCATAAGCTTATAATGCCTGCCTTTACAACACAACATGTGCCTTTGTGTTTTTCCTCATTGGAAATACAAAAACAAAAACAAAAAACGTCAGGCCGTTTATCCATTAAGGAGATACAGAAACAGAAAATTATTGGACAAATTTCAAGTATCTGACAAGAGTCTTATTTTTATATAATCTTTTAAAATGAAAGAGAGAGGTGCACTGTTTGAGTTCCTCTGTACAGTTATTCCAGAGGTCAACCCCTTTAAAAGAAATGCAGGACCCCATTGTATCTGTTCTAAAATATTTTTTATTGAAAACTTCTCTTCCTCGGAGCTCATAATGGCTTTGTCTTATGTCAAAGATATTTAGCAGCGTTTGGGACAAAAGTTTGTTTTTAACTCTAAACATGATTTTTAGAGTATATAACTCTACAAGGTCATAAAATTTCAATGTTTTAAGGTTTGTAAATAAAGGATGAGTTGACTGGTTATAATTCGAGAATGTGATGAGCCTTATTGCCTTTTTTTGCAGAATAGCGATGGGTTTGGTGTTTGTTTTGTAGGTATTTCCCCAAATCTCTATACAGTACGTTATATATGGCATTATTAGTGAGTTGTATATAATAAGTAAACTCTCTTTATTTAGATTATGTCTAGATTTATATAATATTGCTATTGTTTTAGATAATTTAATTTTGATATAATTTATGTGTGATTTCCAATTTAAATCCTCATCAATGGTTACTCCTAAAAATGTATTTTCATTTACTCGTTCTAATGGCATATTGTTCAGCGTTAAGCTTACTCGATCATCAATTTTACGATTTGAAAATATCATGTATTTCGTTTTTTTAATGTTTAAAGATAATTTATTAATATCAAACCACATTTTAAACTTGTGCAACTCTCTTTCCATCATTTCCACAAGCTGATTTAAATCATGACCAGAGCTGTACAAGGTGGTGTCATCCGCAAATAGGACACAATTCAACTTTACCGACACATTGCACAAATCATTAATGTAAATAATGAACAATTTAGGTCCTAGAATGGATCCCTGTGGAATTCCATAAGTTATTTTAACCATTTCTGATTTTGTATCATTTATTTGTACGTACTGGTGCCTATTTTCTAAATAACTCTGTAGCCATGTATGCACTGGTCCTCT